GAGTCTGGCAGCCTCCAAACCGTACAGAATGAAATTAAATGATATGATGTTTCAGGCAGGTTAGTATTTCTTGGTTTCAGCCAACCAGAGAGTTAATTCCACACTGCTAGCCAGAATGAGGGAATATCGGGCACCGCAGTGAGAAGGTAATGCACGCTGGAAGGTTTGAACATCAGCAGCCCTACAGACCTCCCCACCCCACCCCACCCATTTGGGTCTCACCTGCTCAACAGGCATCGCCCCAGGATTGCTCATCAGCATCCTCGCAACAGCGCCGCAGACGTTATCCGTCACCCGGCTGTTGCGCTCCTGAGAAATGAGGTTGGATAAAAGTGCCAGGATCCTGGGGTAGTGTCTGGCCAGGTAAAAAGAGGTTAAGGGAAAAAAAAAAAGGGTGGGTGGGTGAAGAGAAAGGCACCTTCTCTACACCAGTGTTTCCCAAACTTGGGCACTTTAAGATGGGTGGACTTCAACTCCCAGAATTCCCCAGCCAGCTTTGCCATTCATCTTAAAGTGCCCAAGTTTGGACAACACTGTCCTAAATCATCATATGGTTGGGTGTGGCATGTTAAATGAACCCAAGCACTGTGGTTTGTAAACGCTTGTATCTTAGCATAATGTTTGTACCCAGCTAACAAACCGCCGCTAACAGAACCATCTGCCTTAATGGCATGTGGAAATGTTTTGGGGAGCAGCATTTCTGTTGTTTTAGAAAGTCTGAACAAGTGGGAGTGGCAACTGGGCCCAGGAGAAATCCAGCTTGGGTTCTGAGGTTCCCAAAGTGGAGTAAATCCAGTTTACATCCCCTTACTGGCCAAGTTCCAGGGTGAGAGGGCCATCGTTACGTTTATTTTCATCAAGCATTTAAAGGTGAGAGATTCGCTTCTTGCTTGGCACTTCTCTGGCCCTTAGATGCATCAGTCCTCCTCCTGGGGCGACAGGGAGAACAGAAATTGCGACAGAAATTCCCAGAAGAGTGTGAAAAACCCATCCACTCTCCCAAACAACTGACTTGGTAGCTGCCGAACCAACATTTCGGAACTTGTGGGAGAAGTGGGCAGTGGGGTGGGGGCTTTCCTCTGGCCAAACCTTGCTGAACAGGGGTGCCTGCGCACCCTCAAGTGGAAGGAAACAAGGATACTCGTACATGGCTTCCCCGCCATGTTCTGCCAGGACACCCAGCCCGAAGACGGCGTTGCTGCGCACTTCCTGGTCCTCGTCACGGGCTGCTCCCATCAGCAACGGCAGCAGGTGTGGGACGAAAGAGCTTGAGACGCATCCCAGGCCCTGAATTGTCTCTGCGATGATTCCCACTGCAAAGGACTTGTCCGCTGCGGAACAGGAAGGCTTCTGCGGAAGAGGGCAGGAAGGAAGGAGGCTTAGAGACACAGACAAAGACCTCTGCTCTTGGTCTGAACGAAGGAAAGGTGGCAAAACCCACACAGCGTCTGCTGGGAATGAACCTCCTGCTAGGTGAAGCTGGACGGCAGCGATCAAAATCTGGCCTGATTCAAACCGAGTAGAAATGTTAGGAGGCTCTGGCACATGGTATACCGCAGGTTGATTTGATGACTTTGCTCAGGTTTTCTGTCTTGGTTTTTAATGAAGTGTTAGCAGCATTGAGTCATGAGAATGTGATGGATGTGATGGAGGGAGGGAAGGAGGAGATGGGAATGGGGGACGGAAGGAAGGAAGGGAGGGAGGGAGGGAGGAAGGAAACACAAGGCCCCAATTACCATTAGTTGAAGGTGGTCTTGAGAAATGACCCCCAGAGTTGTTCACTGGTAGGAATCAATGAACAGAAGGTAGAAACACACGAAAGGGGAACTTGAGAGACTAAAAGATAAAGTACTCTGGGAACATCAGGCTGAAGGAAAGGAGAGGGCCAAGAAGCAACCAGCCTGGGATGCAAACTCACCATCTTGTTGATGAGCAGAGGCAAGAAGCCGGCAAAATACGGAGCAAAAGTTTCTCCTCCGGCGGCTTCAGCAAGGACAGGAATCATCTCCCCGGCGTACTCGATCACCATGCAGTCATATTCTGCCTGCTTTGGAGCGTGGCAGGAAAGAGAGAGGTGTGAGTAGAGAAAAGTGTGGTTGTACCTCCCAGGCACCCACGATCCTTCATCTCAACCGAAGGCAGCAGATGGCGGATCTTCCGTGCCATGACCCTTCCCCTTGGCAACTGTGTGCGGGATGAGACCGATGGGGCTGTTTTGCAGACACTCTGATGAAGGTCTGGGGACGCAACAGGACACCACCTCCAACAGGTGTTTTCCCACGTAGGAAAAGCTGGAGCCCAACACTTGACGCCCGTGAAGGACGTCTTGAGTGGGCTCTGTTGGCTTCCCGACTAAGAAGATGCCGTCTCGCATTTCAGAACAGAAGGGTGGGGTCCTCAATCACAGGCACAAAAGATTTTCACACCTGCCAGCTATTACTGGCTTTTACTCTGTTGCTTTTCTATTTAGAGCTTACTTGGTTTATTTTTATAATTTAGATTCTACCTTTTAGTCCATAGGCCACAGATACTGAGCTTAATTTTGATTTGGGGACTTCTTGAGGTTTTTTGTTTTGTTTTTCTGTGAACTGCTATTCACTATAGTTATAAAAGCCCATTTATAGAGACGATAGGAGAGTATCAAAAATAAAGGGTCCTCAGTTAAACCTGGTTTCAAAGCCGGGTTGCCACGAAGAAGACACAGTGGCTAGGCTCTCATCAGAGGCAATACCCCAGCAAATAAACCACGTTCCAGACTTGCCAGGATAGCTGGATTCCCACAATACAATGGCCACCCAACTCCATGAGCCTAGCCTAGTCTGTGGTGTGAAGCCAGCCACCCAAAACACGACTTGAGAACTGCACAACGGGTGCACCTACACACCCCACCCCGGCCAGTTTTCCTTTTGCCCAGGATGCTTCCTCAGTTAAAAGAGCCAAAAGCAACATCTGCATGGAATCTGAGGTTGCTGATTCCCAATCTTACTTCGTCGTCGTCATCCTCTTCATCCTCCTCGCTGTCCTGGCAGGCTACCTACAAAGGGGAAGGGGGGAATTTCACAATGAGAAATTTCACTTGCACACTTCTCTGCTTCCCCCGCACGTATGCCAACCAGCTGCACGGGCTTGGGAACCTATGTTCGGACATAGACAAATACATGGGCAACCATCTGTGTACATGGCTATACCGTTCACCCTTTTTCCAAAAGTGAGACTTTTAAATTATATGTTTCAGAATTAAAAAAGCTTTAAAAAGGGGCCAAGATCTCATGGGGTCTTAGCATGGGAACCCCTCAGATTTGCACAATGGTATCCATTGACTAAAATGTTCACTGACTCCTGATGCAAAGGAAAAAGTCACTAGACCATCATTAGTTTCATAAAAATAATAAAGGAGGAGGAGGAGGAGGAGGAACAGCCCTACTAGCCTTCTTCCTGCTCCACAAGGCTCACTTTTTGCTCCAGCACCTCCCGAATCACCCGGCAGAGTTCTGTCACTAGGCCAGGCTCCTGCAGGACATCTTTCTGGCACTCCTTCACCACCTTGGCCAAGGTTTCCAAAACAGCCATCACCACTTGGCGCTCCTGGTCCTCCTGAATCCCTTTCATGTAGATTGGCAGCACGGCAGATACCAGTTTCTGAAAAGCTGATGGAAGAAAAGGTTCAAGAGGAAGGGGAAGGGAGGGGAGGGGAGGGGAGGGGAGGGAAGGAAAAAGTCCTGCTTGGTTAGACCACAGGCCTCCCTGGCATCAGGACCAACCTGGTGCCTGTAAGCAGCTCAAAACAAGAAGTGTGGGTAGTTCTCTCCTGTTACGGTTCCCGGGAATTGGTACTTAGGACCACACAAAGGGCAAAGGGCTATCGTGACCATTTGCCATGCATCTTCTGTAATGGCCTTCTACTGCTGCCCCAACTGATAGTTTAGTGATGCATTTCCTGACAGCTAAATGCCACCGTCCCTGCTGGGCACGGCTGCCTGGGTCTTCCTCCTGGGACACCAGTCAGCAGGTTTTGGGGAGGGGAAGATGGAGGAAAGCCCCACAAGTCCTCCGCTGTACTGCAGCCCGTTCTAATTCACCCCTCCTGATCTTGGCACTCACTCACCAGCAATGTGAGATTCAGACGGGTCCTGCTTACACACCCGATGCAGCGAAATGATGAACTGTCCCAGGGCTTCGAAAGCCGACTTCCGCACCCGGATGTGGGGGCACTGGAAGAGGAGCAGGCCCAGATGGGAGAGATGAGAAGGCAACTAAGCAGGGCACGATGCTTTACCTGCCTTTGCCCTAGATCCGGTGGTCCCAACTTCAGCAGAAGTGGTTCCGAGCAGCTGGAACGGCAAGCTCGAAGGGGGGCTCTTTTGTGCTTCAGAGACTGGTGAAAACTCAGGAGACGCCAAAGACTCCATCCTTGGATGGAGTGGAACCACTGGTTCAAATGGCTCCTGAGCTCCAAACCTTTTGCACCCCACTAAACTACGCCCTACCCAGGACTAAGACCTTTTCCACCCCTTTCCTGGGTCAAGCGAAGTCGTATTAACAGTGGCAACAATTCTAAGAACGCATCAGAACTGTAAGGTCTCAAAGCACCGAAGGATTTGAGGTGGCTTCTCCTTGTTCTGCTTTTCTCAAGGACCCCTCCCACCCCAGACCAATTTTTCCCACTCTGCATCCTGCTTCAAGGCAGCCCCCTCCTCCCCTGTGTCGGCCCAGCGTTACCTCCAGGAACTTGGACACTTCCTGGAACGAGCTCTCTATGTACGGCAGGAAGGGCCCACTGAGACGGAAAGAAAGGAAGGGAAAATGAAGGCCTCCCGGAGCAAACAGGCTCTCTTCTCAGCATGCTGCTTTCCTACAGGCCCCTGTTCTTCCAGACGCTGCCTCCTGCCTTCCTGTATTCACCATCTACAACCCTGTTGGCCTCTTCGTTGCATTCATACAGCCCCAAGAGATGGTCCTGGTCCCCCTTTAAGCAGTGGGGCCTGAAGGGCAATGTTTTACCACAAGGGCAACTGCAGGGGGGTTAAAAAAGTCAAGGTGGCTGCTGAGCGTCACCTCACAACATCACTGGATGCCTCTGCAGCTCTCCGCAGAGTTAGGAGGCTGCGTTCAGCCTCCCTCCCCGCCCCTCCCAGGTTTGCCCATCTCGCCTTCAGGGGCTCCAAATTGCCCCATGGAAGGATTACGACTTAGGTAAACCCAGAGAGACTCAAGATACCTGACGCTGGCGGCGATTTCTCCCAGAGACAGGCACGCGTCCTCCTTTTCATCCATAAAGACGCTTCGCATGCAAACCCTGGGGGACGGGGGGAATGAGAGAAGAAGGGAGAGCTGGAGCTAGCCTCTCACAAACCCCCAAACCAGAGGGTTTCAAACTGGGTTGGAATGGAACAAGAATGGAGCGGGGTTTCTTTTTTCTCTGAGCCCCTTGCAGAGTTTTTTCCCCCCTTAGTCATTAAGGGAAATAAAATCTCCACAACAGACTAAGGGGAAAAAACTTCCTGCAAGCAGCTAAAACAAACCTTCTCTGCAAAGCCCTTTGTGTTTTCTCTCCTAAGACACAGAGGTTCTGCGAATCTGTATTATTATTATTATTATTATTACTACTACTACTACTATTATTTCTTTTTTACTAACAAGTTCCACGGCCTGAACATTTTGA